TTATTTTTTTAACACCTATAGTTATGCATCTATTGTTTTTAAAGGCACATTGCTGGCTTTGCAGACACTTTGGCACTTTTATTTTTAATTTTTTTGGTTGCATGCCTGCTGGGTATTTTAAGTTGTGGTGCTATTTGTTTTTATATTAGATTTTTTTATATTTACTGTTGCACTAAATGCAAAAGTGAAAACTTTATGATATTTATTACTTGATTGTCCAAGCTACCTCACAGAAGTGCTCTGTTTGTTAACAGAGTTTTTGAATGTTAAAATAAGGTGAAATAAATAAATAAAAATAAGGAACATACTGGATTGGTTTCTTCGTTCTTTATTATTAGTTTTTTTTATGTATTATATAAGTATCGGATCAAGTTTCGGTATCAGTAGATATTTAAAATCAAGTGACTTGGACTCGGATTTGAGGGCAAAAAAACCTGATCAGGACACCCCTAGAAATGATTGGAGCACCAAATATTTCGACCTTCTTAAGGAATGAATTTAAAGATATAAATATTTTTTAAAATCCTACACTGAGGACAAAGTACAACCACTGTGTTTTTATTTAAAGAAATAAAATACACTTATTTATGTTTTTTCAGCTATTATGTTCATGCATGCTGCATCTTTTTTGTAGTAGTTTATTTGAAAAAATGTACAAAGGCATGCACATCACTTTAACTGGGTGCTCAGCCAAACCGCAAAAGTGCAAAATATATATTCAAAAAGGCGGCAACACCAAAGCTCCAAAATTGCAAATTTATTAAATTAAAAAGGCTGACACAAAGCGTGTAACGTTTCGAGCACACGGCTCTTTATCAGACAGTGTTCATTACCATAAGTTTCTCCTTTTTGTACACCTCCGGATCACATGATCTCCTATTATCTCACAACAGGAAAATATGAAAAAATACACATTTATAAATTATACAACTTGGATAGTAGTAGTTGATTTGAAATTTGGCATTTCAAACAATTTTTCAAAAATGTGACTGATAAAACCGAGTTTTCAAAAGCAAGGGTAAAAAACCCTCAATCATTTCAGAAGAGTATATACCTTTTTATATACCTTTTTTCTTATTTTTATTTTTATTTTATTAATAGAATTTAAATGTAAATAAGTGCAGCAGGGGGAATTGTTGTAGGTTAGGAGGGTTCCAAAAAGAAAGTTTAAAACTAATTGTATGTTTCATGTCTGACATCATCATTTCTGGTTTCTTTAATAAAACACATTAGAGGAAAAAAAACCTTGCCTATCAGATACAATTTGGTTTTGAAATAATAATAGTTATATGACTTAGTGAATTAGTATATGTATATATATATATATATATATATATATATATATATATATATATATATATATATATATATATATATATATATATATATATATATATATATATATATATATATATATATATATATATATATATATATATATATATATATATATATATATATATATATATATATATATATATTAGAGATGTGCGGAGCAGCCGGTATTTGTATTTGTTGAGGGGGGAAAAGTATTTGTATTTGTATTTGTATTCGAGTAAAATTCAAAATGGCGCAAAAATATATATTTTTTCTATTACACTTCTAATTTACGTTATAGTGAAAGTATTGTTTAATTATACCCATTATATAAATTAGATATGCAATATTGGCTGTTGTTTTAGGAACATGTGATAAGAAATGTCATTGAAAAGAAAATAACATAGAAGCCATTATCTCATCCATGGTTAAACCAACAACTAATAAAATACCATTGTGAATATTATGAACCCCACCACCACTGTTCTTGTTGAAGGACACTGAATAGACAGAATAAAAACAACCGACGGTCTCCCCCGACGGCCCGCGCTCACACCATATCGGGCCTCGGCACGCTTACGTCATCGCTGCTGCTCTGTTCAGTGAGAAGCGCTCTCTATGGCAAGCCTTTTTAGCATTTAAATCTTTGTTCTGACTCCATAAATATATTAGAGATATCTCTAATTATATTTTGACTATTCATAATTATAATTCCACTACTCAGAATGACAATTAGACATATCTGCAAATACAATTGTACTAGTACGAAATCAGATGAATTTTGACAAGTAACAATTGTAATTGATATCTCTGAGTTTTTACTAGTTATAATACATTTGGAGATATCTTTAATTCATCATATTTAGAGATATTTACAAATATATTTGAAGATATCTCTAATTAATTTACTAAAAGTCTAATTACAGTTGTATATCTTGAATTGGATTTTTGACTAGTCAAAATTCATTTGGAGATATATCTAATTACAATTGTGACTAGTCAAAACTTATTTAGAGATATCTGCAAATATTTTTCAATGGAAGTCAATGGAGGAATATGACTAGTCAGTCATAATATATTTGCAGATATTTCCAATCTGACTAGTCGAATTATAATTATGACAAGTCAAAATATAATTAGAGATATCTCTAAATATATTTATGGATAGTCTAAACAAGGTTTAAATGCTAAAACGGCTTGCCATACGCTCTCACTCAGCAGCACAGTGGAGAGTTCTCTAGTTATATCCTTTCAGTCGTTTGTTATGCATTGACATGCAGTCAAATATTTCGCCAAACAGTCCTTAGGGATGCGGTGACACGCAGTCAGATATTTTACCGGACAGATCCGCCACTTTTGGTGCGCATAAACAATCATAAAGCTCTCGTGCTGCAGGAATGAGGAGGTCTGCTGAAGGCGCGCAGCTGACGTGCAGTGAGAGGTTTGCGTCTTTAATAAACTACGGCAGTTTGCGATCACTGAACAGTAAGAATGATTAATAAATCCATATGAAACAACCCCTTAAAAGTCACGTCTCGCTTTCAGTTTCGGGCTTTGGCGCGTTTTGTACTAAGCGTGTCTCTCTCTCTCTCTCTCTCTCTCTCTCTCTCTCTCTCTCTCTCTCTCTCTCTCTCTCACTCACTCACGCGGGCATGCACTGTGGTTTCATGAGGAAACGCTATTCGTGCCTTTCCGAATACCGTATTCGGGTTCGGCTCCACCCTTAATATATATATATATGTATGTATGTATGTGTGTGTG